GTTTGCACATCTGAACCACTTTTCTAAAACGTTCCCTGGCAGATATTACAACCACATTGAGCGGATTTATTTGTGAATTCGCTCGTGTTTCTCAGGTGCTTATACACAAATATGATGTCTTGCAGTGTGTTAACTGGGGTTTTTGTCATTTCTGAATTAATAAACTTTCAAACGCAAGTTTTTTAAAGCAGGTCATCATGTCAAAGAACTCAAAACTTCAGATGAATGATTCTAGATGTTCAAAATGTTAGTATTTTGTATTAATATTTACAATACCATTTAAAAGTTTGGGGTCGGTAAGATTTTTTTTTTGTTTTTAAATCTTTTATGCTCACCAAGTCTACATATATTTCATCAAAACAATTTAAAATAACAGCTTTCTATTTGAATATATTTTATGTAGTTTAATCTTGGGATGGCAAAGCTGAATTCTCACCAGCCATCACTCCAGCCGTCACATGATCCTTCAGAAATCATTCTAATTGGTTGATTTGGTCCTTAAGAAATATTTTTTATAGAAATGTTGAACACAGTTGTGCTGCTTAATATTTCTTTTGTATATTTTCTGAATATTAATAAGATCCTACTACATTTTCTGCTAGATAAAAGTAAAAAAAATAAAAAATAAATCTTACTAACCCTAAACTTTTGAATGGTTAAACTTGGTTAGCACTAATCAAATGTTGCCCCCTGTAGGACACACAAATCATTGCAGTATAAAACCCATTCCTCTTAAAGGGATAGTTCACCCAAACATGAAAATTCTGTCATTAGTCACCCTCATGTCGTTCCAAACCCGTAAGACCTTCGTTCATCTTCGGAACACAAATTAAGATATTTTTGATGAATTCTGAGAGCTCTCTGACCCTAAACAGCAATGCAATTACCACGATCAAGGTCCAGAAACGTAGCAAGGAGATCGGTAAAATAATCCATGTGGGGGGTTCAACCGTAATTTTACGAAGCTACGAGAATACTTTGTACGCAAAGAAAACAAAAATAGCGACTTTATTCAACAATTTGTCTCCTCCGCGTCACCCTGGTGCCATTTTGGACAGTATCCACTGAATGTAAACAGCGTATGCTGTTCTGTGTCAGCTGTGCCATGCGGCACCAGGGTGACGCGGAGGTGACGAATTGTCTTGTAGCTATTCTTGTAGCTTCGTAAAATTACGGTTGAACCCCTGATGTCACATGGATTATTTTACAGATCTCCTTGCTACGTTTCTGGACCTTGATCGTGGTAATTACATTGCTGTCTATGGGAGGGTCAGAGAGCTCTCAGAATTCATCAAAAATATCTTAATTTGTGTTCCGAGGATGAACGAAGGTCTTACGGGTTTGGAACGACATGAGGGTGAGTAATTAATGACAGAATTTTCATTTTTGGGTGAACTATCCCTTTAAGGGGTCAGCTGGTGCAGGAAATGTCTTGTTTTGAGCCAATCATCTGAGCCCTAAATGCCATGTGATTAATGTGGAGCCATTATATGATGATTTCAAAAATACAGGGCTAAAGAAATATCCAACATAGCAGTTTCATATTTATAGTTCAGTTTTTGGTTAAGAGACAACCACATACAATTCTAAAAGAATCAAACCTGATTAAAAAAATTATTTATTTTTTTCCCCTAAATATTTGATTTCATAGCATTTTATTTCTTTTTTTTTTTTTTTGGGAAACTTAGACCAAATTAATTTGCAAGTAATCAAGTATTTGAGCACAGTCGGTCTCAGTTAAGCACATTGTGTGCGTCGGTACTTGACATTTTGTACACAATCAGTCTTTTCTCATTCGCTCGAGAGATAGAAACTAGTTATTTTTTCTTCCTTCCTGTCTTTCTTTTTTAGATAAGATCTGAAAGAAATATTTCCAGCATTGTTAGATCACCCATTGTCAATGCTCCACAGCTGTGTATTTCGGACAGTTTCAGCAAGTTTGAAGAGCACTAATCTAATTTGGGCACAAACTAAGACAATGGACCAAAGAGTGGACTGAGACAAAGGTGGAACAAAATACTGATAAACAAGCTCATTACATTTCAAATACAGTTCCCTGAATGCAAACTGAAACGGCCCCTATTGTAATGCTTTAAATTGGTCTACATGCAGTTAAAGTTTAACCGTACTGGTCAGTGATTTTGAGGCTAATCTGGTCAAGCAAGTCAACATTTCATTACCACGTTTAGCAGTTTGTTCCACCTGAAGCCTCAGTCTTGTTATCTAAACTAATCTTGATGGTCTTGCTACATTTGATACTTCATAGTTTCTAAAGAAGAATGTGTCGGTCCACCTCAGGACGAATTATGAGAATGTGTTTTTGTATTATTTTGTATAGTATGTACCCTTGTGTCCCAATCAATGTTTTTACGTTCATTTCACTAGTATTTGTTTCATTACAAAATGTCACTCTAGTTGCTGCTTGACAATGTTATTACTGTACAATGATGATTAATTTGAATTAAATTGTATTCCTGTTCATCATTTCCTGTCTTATCTCATGCAGATTTTGTATAAGGCTTTGCAGTTTTCATTTGGTTTATAGTCTAAAGAGTTTCAATAACTTTTTCCTTGGTTAATTTAATTTTTTAATAAACTGATCCATTTGCAGTGTTTAGTTGTTCTTTGTCAGGCATCATGTGAATGCAAATTTTGCTAATTTAATGTTGACATTGTGAGAACGAGATATCTGAGACCAATTACAATTTTTATTATTTTAAATATTCATCATACATCAGGCTGGGGAAGTGAGTTAAAAAGGATGAAGGCTATTCAAATGCCTAACTGGAAGAAAAAAAGGAAATATACATATAAACATTCATATTTATACTTTCGTAATAAAGCATGCAGAAAATCTCGGCATTTACTTAATTTGCAGAATAAATCAAATACAAAAAACTAGCTACTAGTCTGATCAAAAGAGCCAGAGGGACTGCATTACTGAATGACATCATCAGTGAAACTCTCACAAGGAGAAAAACATGCTTGAGTTCCTCAAGTCACTTGTAACGCAAAGTGGCCCATGTCACTACCGTGATCATGTGACACATCTGAGTGGAAGGTTCAGAGTCTTCTATAGAAGTGGTTTCTAAACCATCCATTGACCATCATTTTTATGAGAACAAATTTCGTAAATCTCTATAGAAATATGTGTAGTACTGTACTTCCCAGTAAACAGCTCCGCTGCTCTTGTAGTGCTGTCTGTATAGTGCAGTGTGAGCAGTCATCTGCGCATCCACAGCCAGCCGTTGATCAGACAGGCAGACAGTAACATAGAGAACAGCACCAGCTCCGTCTGTCTGTGCTCTGCGTTCTGTCTCTCCAGCCCTGCTATCCTCCTGCTCATCTTCACCACCTGAAATCAAAGGAACATAATCAATGTCATCCACACTACACATACTAATATACTGCATGCTGTTAAGAGGTTTAGGGTTTGTAAGATTTTTTCAAATATATTTTTAAAGGAAGTCTGCATTTATTTGTTCAAAAATACAGTAAAACAGTAAATTGTGAAATATTATAACAATTTAAACTAAATGTTTTCTATTTAAATATATTTTAAAATGCCATTTATTCCTGTGACTGCAAAGCTGAATTTTCAACATCAGTCTTCAGTGTCACATGGTCCTTCAGAAATCATTCTAATATGCTGATTTGCTGCTCAATTATGAACAATGGTTCTTATCAAAACTGAAAAACTTTTTTTGTATAACTGTACATGTCTTTACTGTCACTTTTAATCAATTTAATGTGCTATATTGCTATATACCAGTTTGATTATATATATATATATATATATATATATATATATAAATATGTGTGTGTGTGTGT